CATGGAAGTCAGTAATACGCATTCGGATGGTCAGCCCACAGACAGACAGACATAATCATGATCTCACAAAACAGCTCTCCATGAGTGACTCGAAAGTGTTTTCAATTGTTCAACACAAATGTTAACATTCACAAATATTTAGGAAGCATAACCATGCTCATAAAAGACAACAGAAGAGCAGAGATACTGCTACACCTCTTTCTACCCTCTTTGGGTCTCCTCTCATTTTGAAAAACGCAGCACACCTGTGCTCACAGTGAACGCTGGGTCATCAGTGCAAGAGGAAGGCGTGTAAGAAAACCTAAAACTACAAATCACATATGATCCTTATTTAAAGGTAACCTCTTTTTCAAGTTTTGTTTCCTACAGTTGAAAAGAAATGTGTTGCTTTTCAGGTTATAAAAATTCTACTGCTCTCAGTATTCTTATTGCAGGCATGGGGTTTCTGTTTGCAGTTCTGAACAAAAAGAAATTGTCATTTGGTTCTTTATAACTTATGCTCATTAGGGTTTTAAGCTTTAATGATGTTGGCTGCTGTGTTTTACATTTACTGAGATTCCACAGTAAATGCTCGACACATTGTTAGTCGCGAGAATTTTTTATGGTTTAAACCAACAGATGAAACTTTCCATTTTTATAGCTTAAGCTTCTAGTGACAATCTTCACAGAAAGAAGTTTAAGTTCACTGAGGGTTTAAATTGCATTTCAACCCTGCACTGTCTTCAGAGTTTGTTTGCTCACTTTTATCATGTGTGGGTTTAGTTACCGTAGAGAAAGATTACACCTCCACGTTATTTTCTATTTTCAAGCATAAAGGTGTTCTAATCCACTGCTTAATTGAATTTATTTTAACTTGGTTCACCTGTAAACATATCCAACCCAGAGAGGATGTAGAATTTTTATCAGTATAATCCCAGGAGAGAGTTTGTCTCATGGAATCAATTGTGGTTCAAGTCAGTATAAGATAAATTCCTGGTGGCTGCAGAGTACTTTTTCAGATCAAACATGAGGGCCATTTAATCATCATTCCTGAATTTACAGTCAACTGAGTATGTAGGCTCTTCCAAAAAACTGTATTCATTTTTACTTTCCTATTAAAGAATATGAATGTACATTCCATTGATTCCTAAGGAAGAGGAGGATCCCTTTGGCCAGGGTCTGGGGGAGGACTTCTGTTCAAATAGCACTGTCTCCTCTCCCCACTGCATGTGACAGGGAGTTAGGGAACCACAGTTACCAGCAGCAGCGTGTGGGACCCCTAGTGTGTGCTTTGACGGAGACCAGGGGCGCCTTTCATCCCTAGAAACATACAGACTTCACAGATAAGCAACAGAACAAGGATTCCATCCCACCAACTTGACCACTAACTCCAAGGGTAAGACCTATCCCCATTCCCTTATTATTAATTCAGTGTGTCTTCACTGAGCACCTACCCTGTGCCAGGCATTGCTCTAGGTGCTAGGGATTCAACTGCTGCACCAGATATGGTCCCTGCCTTCAAGGAGCTTAAGTCTAATGAGGGACACAGACAAGTGAGCAGGCCATTTCAATTCAGGGTGGTGAGGCGCAGCGCGGTGTGCCTTAGCGGGGCTCCTCACAGCAGGGGAAGCTGGTACCTAGTGTCTACAAGTTAGGGTGGTGCCCTGGGGGAAGTGAGCCAGGCTGAGCAGGAGATATGGGACTTTCCCTGGAAGGAAAGAGGTGGTGGAGAGAGCATTCCTGGCCGAGGGGCAGCTGGACAGAGGTCCAGGGAGGAGGGCGTGCAGAACTCTTTGTAGAGCTGCAAGGTGCTGAGACAGGAAGGTCTGGGAGATACTCAGGGCTGCAGAAGTCAGCGGGGCCAGACCACGAGGTCTTTTGTGTATTATGTTAAGGAATTTGGTTTTGCTCTAAGGACCCTTGAAAGCCAGAAGAAAGTTTTGAGCAGGAGGCTTTCTAAGGTTGTTGTAGCTATGGTGTGGAGACGAGATTGGAGAATTTGGGAAATGAGTTCGTGGCTGACATTCCAATCCAGGTGTGGACAGTGGTGGGCCAGATGGACAGAGAAGGGCAGTTGGCCCTTCTCCCAGGAGGCAGGACTTTGAGACGGTTGGGGAGAGGGGAATCCAAGATGACACTTGGGAAGACTGGGCAGACGATGGCATCATCTCGGAATTCAAAAGAGAAGCAGAGAGTAACCTAGCTGTGGTGTATACCTTGCAGAAATTAAAGATGAAAAGAGCCAAGGAATGCTCACAGACTGTTTTGGAGTAAAGACATGAGAGAGCTAAACCCTGCAGTCCTTACCTGCAGTCCCGTCCCTCTTATTTAGCAAACCTGCTCCCTATCCTCTCTCTCATGTGTCTAAGACCGTCTCAGATCTTATGTAAACTCTATCAAAATAGCAAGACATAGCCAATCTCTGCAACCCTGCCCTGCAGCAACCCCCCCCCCCCACCCCTTTGTTTTCTGGTTTAGAGAGGCAATTGGAATGGATTCAGGGTTGATGAAAAGAAGAAGATACTAGACTAGCCGAGCCCTATAATAAAAAGCCTGGCCAAAATGATACAGATGACTGGCTGAGATCATCTTGCATAAGGCTGGCTCTCAGCAAAATTGTTTAGGAGGGATAAACATTTTGGTTCTTTCTGTTTCTTCATGAGATAGCCATTCTCACTTTTTTCCAAGTTTCTAGGTTCCTTTCACGGCCCGTTTCCTGTGGCAACAGAGAGCTATTGATATCTGAATCTTCAACCACACCTGCCCTCCAGATCTTTCCATTCCTTTCAGAACTAGTTCAGTATATTGGGTATATTGGTTTTGTGTCTTAACTATAATACTCAGGGCCCAGGTTGCTGGTCAGATAAATCCAGTACACTAATTTAATATAAATGAACAAATTAACTTATGCTAAAAATTTAAATAATCAAATCATCTAATTAAGGTGATGACGACTAGCTAAATGTGTTTGCAGTTTAGCATCGTGCAGGTGATGAAATGCACCAGGCATGAGTCTGCCTGGGCTCAACTCCCAGGTGCAGTGCTCACCAGCCACAGGAAGCTGGGCAAGGTTACTTAACAAGTGTTCAGTCTCTCTATCTGTAAAATGGGAATTCCATACATTTACGTCATAGAATTGTTGGATCATTATATGGTAATAAGGCATGAATTACAAGGCCTGACATCTTAAGTAAGTGCTCAATACGGAGCTACAACTATTCCTATTGCTTTTGTCATTGCTGTTTTTAAACTTGGAGCCTTCAAGGCATTAACCTAAAGACATGACTAAAGTGGACATTTCATTCAGACAGGGCCTGTGAATAAGCTCTTGAGGGGGGCAAATTCATTGTGTGTCTCTGTTTTAATCACACTGGAGATGGTCTACTTCTTACAAATGTGTCTACTCCAGGTTCCTTGAGGTAAAGACTATGTCTTGCTCATTGCCATGTCACCTGCACCTAATACAATGTCTGGCACATAGGTGGTGCTTCGTAAGTTTTGTTGCATGAGTAAATACTAGAAATATCCTGATGGACAGCTTCTAAGATCAATCCTATTTCCTGACACCAAAGCTGCAAAAGCATTCCAGGACAGTTACAACCCCCATTATCCTAAGGGTCTCAGATATTGTTAGAATGATCATTAATGTTTTGGTAACTACATTTAACTCTGAGACTCATATTGCATGACGATTTTTATCTTTTCCATTTTATGCAATGGTGAATTCATGGTTCTCATCCTAAAAATTTCAAAGACCATGATATTAGTTCTCATCCTAAAAATTTCAAAGCTTATGATGTTAAATCAGATAACTTAGTGAATGAGTTATATGTTTGCAGTGGAACCTGCAATTCAGTGGTGTTCATTTTTTTTTCTTTCAGTTTTTCTGGTAAAGTCCTGTTACTCTAAAAGATACAAGTTAATTTGAAGAAAGGCAAAGAAGGTCTAGAAAAATATCCTGTATGAATTATGTGATTATAAGATTTTGGAACATGTTTCTCAAGAACATAACCATAAATACAGGGTTTGAAAACTAAATCAAGGACACTCATATTGGGTGTGGTGCGCAACAGTTTCTAATCAAATTTCAGGGCTGACCTTATATATAATGATGTGGCTTCCTGGGGACTCGTAAAGGCACTAACAAAGAAAACTCTCTATTTCCTGTTCACTGACACCTAAAATTCTTTCAAGACAAGGACAAGAATAAACTACACAATTGTTTCTCTAGAAGCAGGTTTTGATAGAAATTATGCAGAGGAATTTTAGAATTTCAAAGAGATCCTGAAGGCATTGGTCGAGGAGAGAAAGCAGAGGACTCAGAAAGGATGATTAGGGGAATTAAAAGAGGGCCAAGGAAAAGCCTGTTTGTTAAACTGCACTTTGAGGAGACATGCGGTTATTTTCAACTTTATAGATCTTTTCCTTTGCAGATAATTAAAACATATAATTGGAAAAAATGCTGCAAAGTTAAATATATTCTTGATCCATTAGATTGACAATCAGTCAGGAGACTTGAGGCTTGGTAACCTGAGAGAGATTTAATAAGAATCAATTAAAACAACTTGTTATAAAAAAGGGCATTTGGAAAATTTCCCTTGAAGTTAAAGAAATATTAAGAAACCAATAATGGAAATGAAGGGATGGAACTGCCTGATCCCTTTGTATCAGAGAGGTCCAAGAACAATTGTTCTCACTGGCAGTGTAGATGGGCAATTCAGTGCGGCATTTGAGTGTTCTTTTACTTTAAAAAAAAATTAAATTCAGGATCAATGATTAGGCATAGTTATAGGTCCATGCCAATGAGTCCTATATTTGGTGGGTAGGGACAGTATATTAGTGAGTGCATCTTTAATTCTGAGATAAGATGCACAAGTCATGATATACAACAAACATGATTTTTTAATAATGCCAACTAATTACCTTGGTGATAAAAATTGCTAAACAATATGAAGTTCAGGTTGATTTGGGAACCCAGGAAGCCTAGAGAACTGGCATTCTGTTTAATGACAAGTGCTTACTGGTCTTTCATGCTGCAGAATGGAGGACTTCCCAGGTTCATATTCAAAAATACTCCTCGGCTCAGAACGGAATTTCCTTGTGTCTACTTTTCTGTCTGGAGGATCCCAGTCATGCCTAGAAATCAGCAACAAGTTACATATTAAAATCATTCTCTATGCTTAAAGCCATTGTATAAAACCACTGAATATCTGTTTTCAAAGTTAATTCTGATATAGACTTTTTTTAAGTGTCTCAGGGTAAAATGTTACCCTGAAAAAAATAAAAGCACATTTATGTTCTGTTTTACATAAATGATTTAAAGAAAGCCATTTCTTTGCTTTCATGTTGTATGTTCCTCTGTTTTTTTCATACAAGGATGTGCCTCCTGCTGGTTCAGTAAGTCACATGAGGGGTCTGTGCAATAGATATGCAGTCAGTGATGTGCTAGTGAACCCTGGGGTCACAAATGGCAACTATGTATGAGTAAGTGGCGGCTATCCACCAAAGTCCTGTAAGTTTATCCCATCACTCTGTGACCTGGTGTTCTTGATCTGAAGTGACAGCGAGTAATGCACATGTTGTGTTTGATCTTGTTTATCTTGCAAATGGCATCGTAGTTTGTCTGCAAAAAGTGCTAAAGTATCACTTGGGTTGCTGTCCATAGGAGCAAGTTGTTTGACAGGCTAGACCCTCCATGGTTTAGCCTTGAAAAACCAGAGCCTGGCATCTATTCAGCACATAGGAGTCCTTGGAATCAGCTCTTTTCCTTGAACTAACATCCTTCAAGAGGCAGTCAAAGAGGGACTTCAAAAGTAAAACTCTTCTAGGTAGCTGAGGCTGAAGAAGGCTTCCTTTGGGAGGATCACTTTTGAGGAAGAAGAATTTTCTGACTATAGATGGGGGCAGTTCTGACCCATGGAATGGGATGAAATTCCAACTCTGTGGCAGGTTGGAGACAGACATATTCTACAAGACAGGAGAGCTAGGGGAAAGCAGATCCTGGCTTTCTAGTAAATTGATGAGCACTATTCAGCAGAGAAGAAAGCATTCTAGAAAATTTTAAGGGATTATCATGTTTCTTAAGGAAAGATTAATGTTTACTAGACATACAGGACAAATAATACATTTAAGTCTGAGTTAATCTTGGTTCTTTATGGCAGAGATACTGTTTTGTGTCTAGACTATTATTTCTCAAATTTAAGATACCATACGTGTAAACATATAATAGTCATGAAGAGATGGCATTAAAGTGAGAATCTCTTCACATATAACATATGTCTGTCTTTGTGCTGTCTTGTAACCTATATGATCATCAGTTACTCCTCATGGTACAGCAGGGTATTGAATATAATTTCTGGGATGGGTCAGATAGATGGATGCTTAATAATTAAGCATATTAATACTAAATAATCCTTACATTTATATTTATTATTGCTAGTATAGAATGAGCTGTGGTTTTAGCCAGAGCCAGGTGTGAGTCTGGCTTGGGCATACTAGCTGCATGAGTTGAGCCACTTACTTTGGTTTTTGAAAGTACAGTTTTTTTCCCTCTCTAAAATGGGTTTAAAATAGAGCATGTCTCATTGGGTTGTGTTCAGAATTAAGTGATACGATACAGGAAAAGTACTTAGATGAGTGCTCGTAGTGAGGTCTCAATGAAGGTTACCTATAAGTAGGGCTATCAGTCATGATCCTAATAAAAATGGCACAATAAAAGTGTGTCTATAAATTTTTATTTTTGTTTGAATAGTTTCTATAAATGTATTTCAGTGGGGAAATTAAAATTAGTGTGTGGAAATGAGTCACAGGTAGACACCTGTTAACTAATGCCTTACTTATGAATAAGCTTTTCTGTACTTTTGGGTATCAGAGGGGAAATTTTGAATCATTGATAGTCCTAACAGTGCAAATCTGAGGAACCTGAAATTTAACTGCATAGTCTCTGACCTGCTATGCCAAAGGGAGTGGGTGTCCATTATTTCTGTTTGTCATATGCATTTATTGATCAAAGAGTGGAGATGGCGCTCTATTACTTCAAGTCTAACTAAGGTGACTAGGATATTATGAGGCAAGAGTATGAAACTGCTGCACTCTTGATAGAGGAGGTCACTTTACTGATTAATAAGATGATACGTATAAGGTTATACACAAACTATCTTAGTAAGGTAAGCACTGATTCTTCTGCTGAATGCCGTGTGGAATCAGTTATATCCTAAACTTAATACTGGACACTTTGTGGGGGAAAAGCCTTACTTTTCTGTTGAAGACCGATCTCTTGCTCGAAAGGGTGGAACTGGAGGAACAGGCGGGGGAGGGACAGGGGAGGAAGCATCCTTGAACACATTGGTGCCGTTGTCGGAGTGGCTCTTGGAGAGTGGTCTGTAGGTCTGGGTCTTGGCAGCAGGATGTGACTGAGTACTGTAGGGCGAGTTGTAGAGGCCTGTCAGGAAGCACAGCACGGCAGAACAAAAACAGAACAGAGACAAGTGACCTTTTTAAAGTGCATTACACTATTTGTAATAAATGAAAATTCTTTTATTTATTTACAAAATATCCCATGATTTTACCAAGATTATTATCAGTAGACATATTCAAAATGCATGCATTGAATGATATGCTCTTGATTGATTAATATGATTAATCATTATTGATTCATTAATGTGTTGTAGACACAAGCATTGGTTACAGTGAATCTTCATCAATTATTATGGAATTAGTAATAATTCAGATCGGTACCAGAAACAGACTTACAGATACTTAGCAAATTTGCTCCTGGATAATGTAAACTAATAACATGTTTCCAATTATCTTCTGTTACTTTAGAAGCTTTGATTTGTATATAGTAATTGACATGTTAATTACAATCATATAAAATATTGAACAAGTTATCTACATGCTGTGCAAGGCATAAGGAAACTTAAACCCTTAATAAGCTCATAGTGCATCTCTGGAAAAGAGACATGATTAGAATTATGATTGAAAATAATTGGTAACATATGATAAAGGCCACATGCGGAAACTTATATTAGGAATTAAAATTTTAGAAGATGGTAGATTGGTTGGAGAAGATATAAAAAACTGAGGGCACTGGAGTGAGCCCAGAAGGATCGTTTGGGCGGGTAGGGGAAGAGGTTGTGGAGATGGCAGAGGAAAAAAAGAGGCAGAAAGTGCAAAGCATAGAACAGTACCATGCAAGGTTAGTAAAAGGGGAAGAGACTGACTATAGTTGCTTTGTCTACCGATTAAATGGTAAAGCTTTCTAAAGGGCTCTGTGAGTTGATAGGTAACTAATGTTCAATTTACTAATTATTCATGGATGCAAACCTCAGTATGAAAAATAATTATAAAAATTCTGAGTTTCCTGCCACCTCAGTCTTTGGAGCTATTACTATTTTCATTCTTCTGCTTCTCCTGGAAGCCCATGCACATTGGCTATGACAAATAAGATACAGTCTGTAAACTTTTGTTTTGCCTCAGTTCCACAGTTAGACTTCAACTGTAGTGCTTTTTAAGAACAAAACAACAGACCCAAAATGGAGTCACTCATGCTAAGCCCCACGTCACGAAGCCGAGACTTAACCTAGTTACAGTTATGACTCTCCCAGAAACAGAATCTTAAACCAGTCCATCAGGATTTGCCTGGTCAGCATGAGTTAGACACTCTGCCTCACAGACCTCTACCCTCCCCTCAAGGAGAGTGACCTGGCAGCAACGTGCTGGCTTTTCTCTTTGGTATAACTTCCTTGTTTCCACTTCCCTCTGCCTTTTTAAAGTCTTTCCTTGCATTCAGCTCCTAGGAGCTCCTTTCTGTATGCTAGATTGAATGCCACCTGATTCGTGAATCGTCATATAAAGTCAATAAGATCTTTGAAATTTTCTCAATTGGTTTTGCATTTTAACAGGCTAAACCCAAGAGGGGAGTTAGTAGAACCTGTGACCAGCATATAAAAGTTGAGGGACTCTTAGGAGGCCGCCTGCTATCATCTAGAGGAGTGAGGGCTGAAAGCCAGATTCTTGCAGCTTGTTGAGCTTGTTCTCCTTGTATTTTTTTCCCCCCTCTATTTGTCCTTGGATGCTAGTAGCAGAATCCTCAACTGTTAAAAAGGCCTGAGTGCTGGCCTTCAAGTGTCACAGAGAGGGCAGCCTCATCTAGTTCAGGGGCCAGGCTGACCCAGGGGACCCTGACAGGAGGTTGCAGCTGCCATAGGGGACGTAGGCCCCCGAGCCTGTTCTAAGAAGGGAATACAGACACAGTGCTGTAGTCCTGAGACCGGAACTGGCAAGTGACTGGAGGCCCCGTGCGGGATCCCCCGACGTGATATTTAGAAGACAGCTGTGATCAGGAACATTTTTTAGGGGTCCCTCATTCCAGCCTGAAAGCATCCCCAAGACACCAACTCACAGAAACACTAGTGGAAATGCCCAGGGCTGAAGCCGTTTCATCATGACCACCGGCAGCTCTGAGTCAGAAGAGTGGTCCGGCAAACAGGGATTTTTAAAAAGCCTTCTATGAATGGTTGCATTTGGAGCAAAAGTATGGACAGGGTCACAAAATACTTTGCTTGACTTGTTTTACTGTGAAGTGTAATCTGAAAGATCTTATGCAATTATAACAATTCTCTACTGATAAAAGGAGACCTTTTTATCTTACTTTGTACCCCTGTTACAGTATGTTTTTCCCTGCTGTCCTTCACATTTTGGTTAAACATTCCTGAAGCAGAGAGAATAAACTAACAGTGGGGAAGAAGGAGATATAATAGTATTAGTTCTCATTTGCATGAGAAAAGATCCACATTTTTTGTTACACATGCTGAGAAAAGAAAAGAGGGAAAAAAAAAGCGTCTTCCTAATTGTAGAAACTGAAATCGTGCACTCAGAGTGGTTAAAAAAAAAGTGGGAAGTTCTTCCACGCATGGCAAGGCACAGTGTATTCATGGCAAGCAAGGAAACCAGCCTACCTGCATTATATGTATAAGGAGTATTATACATGTCTGTGTCATCATCTAGAAAATGAAACAAATATTATGGTAATACAGATTCGGTCACCACATCCTATCAAGATGGCAGAACTTCAGGGAAACAACAGATCTGCTAGAAGGCTAACATGGTTTGCCGAGTTCATGATACCATTTTAAAATTTTCAAATATTATGTTTTGTTTTTGTTTTGCTGGGTCTCTGCAAATTGACTTCTCTGGTCTGTAACAGCTTTGCCCTGGCGCCCACTTCACAGCATACGGACGTCAGTCCCTTCCCCCCTTTCCACCTGTTCTGGATCCTGAATTTCCTTTAGTAAGTGCTTTAAAGATCTCTTATCAACTTGGTGAGACCCAGCTATGGCCCACTCTCTTGACATGGAGTGGATCTGTGTGGATAGAGGAATCATGAGTTTGTTTAAGCAGACAATAGCCAGGCTTGTTTATACTGTGAACAGGGAAGGATGAAAGGATAGGGCCAGAGCCTCTGGTGCTCCTCGAGGCTCATCTTCTAAGAGGCTTTCTGGCAGCTCAGGGGTGAATAAGCAGCACAGGTCTGGGAATTGAGGGGTGATCTAAGAGTAGGGGCTTCCCTTGTGGCTCAGATGGTAAGGAATCTGCTTGCCATGCAGGAGATGCCGGGTTTGATCCCTGGGTCAGGAAGATCCCCTGGCAAAGGAAATGATAACCCACTCCAGTGTTCTTGCCTGGAGAATTCCATAGACAGAGGAATATGGCAGGCTACAGTCCATGGGGTCACAAAGAATCAGACTGGACTGAGTGACTGACACTTAACACTAAGAGTAAGGAGGAGTGTTGAAAAGAAGGGAGGGCCATGAAGTTTGCTAGAGTCTTGACATTTTGTGTGAAACAAAACTGCACAGGAGAGTACGTATTCTTCCACCCACAAGGACCTGATCCGAAAACAGAACTACATACCCGGCTTATGTACCATGTGGATTTGCTTAAACATGGTCTTGTACCAGTCCTTCGGTCTGTCAACTGTCTGTAAAAGAAAATGTCCAAAGATTACAAAACTGGTCACAAATAGACCTTGTTCCTCTTTCTATATTTTATCTTTTTTCATAGCAGATTCTGTTCTGTGATACAATTTTCTCTTTATTATTTCATGATGACAATATCACATTATTGACCAGGGGATTTTTGTAGAAACTAACACCTGTGGCTGGTGATTTGTTATGTAAGTGAATATTGAAACACTCAGGTCAATAATGTTCGGGCAACAAAAGATGTATTAATACATCTCTGGTCAATAAGCTGATATCAGTAATTTATCCAGGCATACCCACACTTTGTAAACATATTACCCCTTGTTTGAGTTTAGACTGAGCTGGAATATTGTATGCTATGGTTTTTTTTCCAAGTCACAGCTGTGCCTAGTCCTGGGTAATTGATATTTCCATGAGCTTATTTATATAAAATTAGCTAAACTGAGCAAATTCTGAGAGATAGTGAAGGACAGGGAGGCCTGGTATGCTGCAGTTCATGGGTTACAAAGAGTTGGACCCAACTTTGTGACTGAACAACAACAAGAAGTTGAATCAAAGCTATCATTTTGTAATTATAGTTCATAGTTAAAAGTTTTTTGTTTCACTCCTTTTGGTGATAATTATCACTATCCATAAAAACTTGTTAGTATACTATTCAATACATTATTTTTAAAATTAACTGGGGAATATTTTAGATGTAAACTGTATTCTGATCATTGGCTTAGAATTAGAGAAATAAAATTTGATATTTACTAGTCTAAGTTAATAAAATACTGAATATAGTAAATAATTTAGTGTCCTGGAGCAAGTCCAAAAATATAGCTATTGCTTCAAAACTCCTCTAACATAATAATAAAATGTTGGCAGTATCTGCTGTGCTAAACTGTAAGTTCCTTAAAAGCAGAAGCTTCTTATCCACTCTGCTTTTGACATAATGTAAACAGTAGGCTACAGTGGAAAGCTGAGATTAATGTCAGATCAACCTAGATTCAATTCTTAGTTCCTTTAATTACTGTTTAATATTTCCCAGCAATGTGAATCTGGGCGAGTGAGGTAACCTTTTAGAGCCTCAGTTTTTTCTAAGATGAAATAATTATATCCACATCATAGAATTGTTTTGGAAAATGAAAGAGACATGTATGCAAAAAGATCTAGAACAGTGGCTAGAATATAAGAAATGTTCCGTAAGTTGTAACATTAGAAAGCCTCAAATATTTACAGAATAAAATAATGAATGACCCAGGTTTTTGGATAAAAGTCTGTCTAATAGTATACCTGTAAATGGGTACATATGCTTTATAATCATAATCAAGATTTTGCTTGTCAAGATGTTCATCTCAGCTCTTCCAAGGTTATTCTGGTAAGAAACATGACCGTTCTGTATATGGTAACTAAATATACTGTTTTTTTAGATAGTTCTCTTCATATAAAACATTCTGTTAGGACAGCCATAAAAATAGTTGTGTGTTTGTTACACTGAACTTTGGTGTACATTTTATATCCTGATTTTTCTCTCCAGTGTGGTCATTGTGTTTTTCTTCTGGAAACTGAGAGTTTGTGCTATATCTAAATTTCTTTTGCTAAGAATATCTGATTCTGGTAATCACCACAAATGTAGAGTAGCATCAGGGGCTACTTAACTTTGTTGGAAATCACTTGTTCATTCATTCTAGGCTCTTTTTACAGTGGAAATATTGGGTGGATCACTGGCTGACTTTATACTCAAATGGTGGGAGCTGTGGGGGAGGCAGTGATAAAGCAACAGTCTAGCTGTTATTTGCTGGTTTAAACAAAGTAGCTGAACTTGTATTTTTAAGGGACATTTAGTTTCACAAAAGATGGATTTTCTTTTTTTATTAAGCTTTAATTCCTTTGTAGTCTTTAGCAATAAAAAATAAGACATAACACTGTGTAAACATGTTTCCCAGCCATACCTGAACACCACCGATGGCAATGGGGAAGCTAAATAAGTGAGTTATATCACTGTATATGGCAAGGTATCCTGACAGACGGGATTTTTTTCCCTTCACTTGCCGGAGGGCACGTATCAGGCAGGATCTTCGCTGTGCCATCTGCTAGCTTTATATGGTGAGCACTGAGATGCCAGAAAATGCCCAAGTTGGTTGACAAAGAGGAGTATGAACCTGCTAAATGGGAACACTTAAACTCTCCATCTCTTTCTCAAAGAAGTCGTCTAATCCTTTAAATTTCCCTTTATATATGTCCTCATGTAGGTTGTTAAAGCAAATATTGAGATTAAGTAAACAGAAGTCTACTTGAATTTGAGAAAGTTTACTTTCTTATGTGTTCTTCAAAATGGTTTTGCCTGGACAGTAGCTATTAGTAAATCACTCTTTGGTTGTTTTCTCTAACTTGGCTGAATAAACCTGAAAATTTACATTCCTGTAGTTTACAAAACATCATAACTCGACATTGATTTATCAGGCAGAGATTTCCAAAAAGGGAAGAGACACGTATTTTCTACCCACCAGTGTTCATTGTTCTGTTCTGTTTTTTCCCCTTTCCAGCTTTGAAAAGGCTCTAACGGTGTTATATTTGAAGTAGAAGAAAAGAATCTTGTATTTCACTTAACTAGTTGGCCTTAATTACACAATCTTGTGGGAGCTGGACCCCAGCGGGTTTTGTTGTTGTTGTTAAGGATGACAGTAAAAGGCTGACATAGATGTCCCAGGTCACATGAGAGAGGGCAGTCTGGGGAGCTGCTCCCCTTCCTGCAAATAGCTCAAAGGTGCATTTGTTTAACTCTTGGCCTTCTAGAGCTTCTAGGTTACTTTACAAAATTCTGTTTCTTTGGTCTATGGAAATTGAGAGAGACAATGTATATAATAGAGACCTAGCACAACACCTAGAATATGTCTAAAATGAGCCTAGAGTCTAAAATGTCTGAGACCGTGAGACTATAAAATGGTACATTGACACAGCACTGCCTTTGGTGTGCACCCTGAGTGGAAAGCCCATGTGAAGTAATGTAAATCAGATAATCATTGCTTTCTCTGCAGATGAGAAAGGAAAACAGCCTTGGAGATTCTTGGCCTGCTGTGGCTCTGAGATGGCCTGACTCCACATTTATAAACACAGCTATACTTGGGGATGTGCCGTGCGGGGCTGACAAATAAGAAATGTGAATGAGTCTTCAGACCTGTACCTTTTTTGTAAACTTTGAAACATCTACAGAGGAGCCTGGCTGTACATAAAAATGCTAGTTCCTTATAAGGAACTTCTGAGTTATGCTTATATTTTATTTTCTGTTTTATAGAAGGGAAGCTTGCATCGAATGTCTAGTATATGCTTTTGTTTATGCATATCTAGACATGCTTTTCATTTGGCAGTAGATAAAATACTATAAAATTTTTAACATTTTTTGATTTTTCACTAACCATCTCTAACATCTCAGTTTTTTCTTTTTAAAATGTGAAAGCAAGGCCTTGTTATTTAAGAAAATTATATCTAATGGATAAAAACAGTTCTAACTTTGCAGTGTACTGATTAAAAACACACCTAGAGATCTCAGATAAAGTGAATCTATATTATGTACACAGAATCAGAAATCTCTAATTTGTGTATCTATTATGTTTCAAGGGTCAGTTTAAAAAAAACCAGTGACGCTGTACCTGTCTGACACTGTATCCCTACTCTATTAGGAAAAATAAATTCTAATTAAAGCATTTGGGGTCAGAAATCTTAAAAAAGAAACATACAACAAAGCGCCACCACCAGAAACATGCAGTCACTGTAAGATTAAAAATATCAGTCCCGATCCCGAACTTTTCCTGTCACTTAAATATGACAACTATTGGTGCCAACATAGATTTTTTAGGTCTTTAAAAGTAGCCACATTCAACATTCCCAGAATCTCATGAGTCTAAAGCCCTAGCAATGACGCTACAGACTTACCTTCTGATTTCCCTAATACAGATGCTTGGAATAATCAATTTTTAACTCTTATCTCAGATCGTGGGATCCATGTAATAAATGCAGATTCAAAGAGAGAGGAACCCCCACCCACCCCCACTCTCTGTCTTTCCTTTTTGAGCAGATTCCAATTGCCCCATCTCTTTTTCTGATCTAATGCCCAGTCTTTTCCTCTCTCCGACCCCCCGAGGTTTGCATTCCAAACCGGCAGCCCTCCGCAACCTCCCAGGCGGGTGTGCGGACCCCGTGTACACAGTTGGCGCCACGATCCCTCCCCGCCCCCCAGTTTCACCTGCAGAGGTGCTGCGGCTCTCATCCTGGCGCCCTGTCTTCTTCCCCGCAGGCTAGCACAAACCTCCTCTCCAAGTGGACTGGCTCAGCAAGCAGCTGCCTGCCCGAGCTCAGCCTCTGCCGCTGCTGAACTTTGCCAGAAGGGGCTGCCCCAACACACTGAACAATGGTCTGGCAGAGTTTACAGACTGGAGGGGAAAAAAAAAAAAAACCCAACCCAAACACTTTCACTGATCGCCCCGGAGAGCTCTCGGCAGGCACAGCCGAGGAGGGACACTCAAATGTGATGTGTATTTTCCGCGGACAGCTTTTCCTTTCTCTGACATGAACTCCCTTCCCTCCAATCATCAGGCTTCTCAACTCCCAATCCAGGGCTCCCAATCTCCTGGCGGTAAGGCACGTCCGTCCATCTCCAGACACAAATCACTGGCTTATTCGCAGCGCACGTGAGACTTAAGTGCAGCCAAAGAATTCACATTTAATTCTCACTTCTCTCTTCTCTCTCTGTTGCCCTAACTCCCCTTGGTAAAAGGTGAAGGCAAACAAAGCTTACTTCTGTCATCTCACAGGATCACAATTTTCGTGCTTTTTTAATTGAAATAAGAGAAAAAGATTGGGTCATTATCTTCAATGGACAGTTCCTTTTCTCTGCCCACACGCAGCATAATATTCATGAGAATTCAGATGGCACAGTGGGCAATCCTCATTATATAAGAGTGTAGGAATGCACAAAGCCATCGACAATCCATCCTTTGTGGAGGCCTCCACAGCCCCGGAGCAACGCGGGCGCTGGCATTTCCTACCGTTCTGATTGCTGTGGGGATTCCGGATTCATCCACCGGCCCGATCCCTGGGTAGTGGGGTGCCTTGATGACTGTCACTCTCTTCTCCTCCTCAGAGGACCTGTACAGGGGTATGGAGCTGCCCACGCTGCCGTCCAGAGACTGGGCATGCTGGGGATATGCCTCCGAGGAATCTGCAGAGAAGATGTGATGAAATATATTTGATGCACAAGGAATCAGATTAATGGAGCCTCATATTCATATAGTATAGCCTACTATAATATAGTATATTATAATTATGTGTAATTACATAGTTATATGTGATTAGTTATGCATAAATATATAATACAATGGTGTTCGCTGGTGGCTCAGACAGTAAAGAATCTGCCTGCAATGCAGGAGGCCCAGGTTTGATCCCTGGGTCGGGAAGATCCCCTGGAGAAGGGAATGGCACCCCACTACACTGTTCTTGCCTGGAAAATCCCATGGACAGAGGAGCCTGGTGAGCTACAGTCCATGGGCTTGCAAAGACTCAGACATAACTGAGCAAATAACACACATATAATACTACATTTATAAATAACTATAGAGTGTATTTGTATCAGTATATCTTCTAGCTCATTTATCTTAAATTTGAGTCACTCATTGTTAACATGTAGGTATATATTAAACCAGTCTCCTCTGTCCATGGGGATTCTTCAGGCAAGAATACTGGAGTGGGTTGCCATGCATTCCTCCAGGGGATCTTCCCAACCCAGGGATCAAACCCAGGTCTCCTGCTTTGCAGGCAGATTCTTTACCATCTGAGCCACCAGGGAAGCCCAAGAATTTGGAATGCGTAGCTTCTCCCTTCTCCAGGGGATCTTCCTGACCCAGGAATAGAACTGGGGTCTCCTGCATTGCAGGCAATTCTTTACCAGCTGAGCTACCAGGGAAGCCCCATATTATATTTATAAATAAATATAGAGTGTATTTCCATCACTATTTCTTTTAACTCATTTATCTTAAATTTGAGCCACTCATTGTTAACATGTAGGTATATACTGCTTGGACCTCTGAAAACAAGATCTTCATCATCCAGTGACAGGGGCTAAGGGGAAGAATAGTATTTGTTGAAAGATCATGTGGCCGTGTGGCTACCACTGTGTTAAGAAAGTGTTTTTGAGATTTTCCTGGTGGGTCCAGTGATGACGACTTCCTAATCACATCAGGAAATCTTCACATCCAAACATATACTTGAATGTTAAGGCATATGAGTAAAGAAATGATCATAAGGTATTAATTAGTATTAATTTTTATCTAAGACTCCATGATGGCCATAATAGCTTTGTTTTTACTTTTTTGTTTGTTTTGTTTGTTTTTACTTTAAAGAAGCAAAAATCATGACCTCTCACCCCTGGGATGTGAAAGTTGCCATAAGCATACTGTTTGGTTGAGATTTATCACATTCTTATTTTCAAGCCATCTTTGTTAACTTTTGTACTTTTGTAAGAAACAAAGAGGACATATGTGTACTATATATTCCACTTACAGTATACAGGTATTTATGAAAATCTACATTATTATCATTTATTTAGTACAATTGATGATATGACTTAATGTTTTTCTATAGTAAATTTCAAAATTTTGCTGACCAAGTATGACTCTCAGCCATGGTTTGCCAGGTCTGTTGCTCATGTAAGTTGGGTCTTTTTTTTTTTTTAATGTAGATAAGGAAGTCTTTATGTCAGGGTAGCAGTCATTGATTACATATAAGTATAGAGATAGATATAGCAGATCTAAAAAGAAACCTAAAAAGATACGACTGTATTTTGTGGCAGAACTTCATAAGATATTTAAAAAATCTGACTCATCATTATAAGGATAAATAAAGATAAAACCTCTTCAAACTAAAATCCATTGTAACATTTATAACTTCTGTACTCTGATTATGTTTTGGTTTGCAACAGAAAAGCTTTTCCAATCCACTTCAATTCATGATGAAGGATAAATAAGGCTAAGAATAAAACTGCTTTATGCTATTGTATGTAAAAGTAATATCTTTCCCAAGAAACTCCAAATTAAGATACAAAGTGATATTTGACTCTGATTTTCCATTTAATTATGGAAAGGATTTGAGTGGACAACCACGATGCTAGTATTTCTATCAAATATTTTTTGAGCACTGAGTATGTGCAAAGTCCCAGTCTAAAGAGTGTTAACTCTGTCTTAATATGTGGTTCATAAGAATCTATGAACTAATAGCTTACATAATACAAGTTAGCCTTGTATTTTATTATGCTCTTATATGATTCACTAACTCTCATTTTCAGTCTTTTTGTCCTCAACTTTATAAAGTTCCTTTAGGGTAGAATAGTTCCTCTAGGCAGAATTTGTTCAATATTTATCTACAGAATTTCTTTCTGTGTAGTATAGCTTATATGTAAAATCGACATATTGATATGTTCTAATATAAAAATCTGTCCATTCTCAAGTATATTTATATTTTATTTGTTGGAGTGGGAGGGATAAAGCTGTGTTCATTAAGAGAGACAAAGAGGACAGTCTAACTTTGATAATAATTATTTGGAAAAATATTATGGCAAGGGTAATTTGTAGAATTTTACTATAGATGTGTGCTCATGCATAGCTCCATAAAGAATCTAAATATAACAGACTCCTATTATAATACTACACCACAGATTGCTTATATAAGGGCAGTGTTTTGGCACAACGATGTTCTACTTTCTTATACTCTAAAAGGACATCATTATAAGATTCACAGATGATCCCAGGAGCAGCCTTAGAGAAGGAGCAAATATATTTAGACTTCTGCTTAATGAGTCTCATGGCTCCATGTAAGTCTTATAATTAGAGAGCTTTTGCTGGCCACAGAAGTTTGAGTTGCATAATCCATAGGCTGGGTGTTCCTGGGTAAATTAATACCCTCATTTTCTTTCAATACACAGTGTCAGGGATGAGAAGATGCTGTCTACTGTCAATGAAGACATGGGAGTTAAAGCCCTGTCTAGTTCCTTTCTCTTTGCTGCTTGGTGGTGTCCAGAGGATTGGTCTCCTGCTTTTCTGAGAGGTAGGTTGAGGTCACGTGGCCCTCTGCCGTTTCCCCTGTTTCCGGCTGTCCTTCAGGCCTTCCAGTTGCTAAGCATGGAACCTTTTTCAGCTTCAATTCAGATGATGGTTTGATTTGGTCAGTTTCCCAATGTTTGGGTTTTTTCTTTACCTTTTTAAAAGCCAAGAAATACTTATTACATTATCTTCTAAATTGTCCTAACATATTTTGCTGCATAAAAATATTTGTAGAGTTATATAGCACAGCTTCTTTTCCAGGAGGCTCTAAATGAAATTATGTCTTAAAATTTATGTGACTGTTCTAATGTTCATTTCTTTTTCTGGAGGAGAGCTCTATCTTTGACTTAATTCACCAAAGATTTAGAAATAACTTCCTATAAAATTCTGGAATCATTTAAAGGAACTCACATCCCTGTCTGATGGTCTTCTGGTCTCGGTTCCAACAGCAGTTTACTACTTTGTGAGGCGCCTGTCCCCTTGTTAGGCTGTTTTAATTGCTAAACCGTTCTGTAATGAAAGCTTTTCCATGAAAGAAAGGGCTGTCTTGAACATAGATGGTATTTGTCCCCCATGGAAACGCACTGCCTCATGGAATGTTCTCCTGGTACATGTGCACTCGCTTCTCCCTAAATGGCCATCTCTTTCTTTCTACGCCATCACCCCAAATATCTAATGGCCTTCTCCACACACACACATAGATGCAGTCATCGTCTTGGAATAGCTGGGTGTCTATTTTCTCCAGTGTTGAATCCTCTGCCTTTAATTCCTCTCCTAGGATAGGATCATTAAAAAAGTGGAGTGTTGCATGTTTCTTCCTTTTCCAAAAATTATTTGGATGCTTTATGTATTCATCATGTGGTTTGTACCTGCTATATTGAAATTGTCATGAAAATCATGACTATCAGATGACTTACCAAGTGACCGGCCATGCTGCATGATCATGCTTGAATTGAGTGAGCCTGGTAGCGAGTAAGCAGAAGGGGAAAACGGCCTTTGATAGTAACTCATTGGACTCACAGTGCCTCCAGAGTTTCCATTCACTGTTATCTGGCTCTGAGAAAAGTGCAAAGACATCCTGTTAAGGCACGCATCCCCCTATACGCCTCACTCCTTTAGATGGCAATAAAGACTTCCACTCACATGACAGGAATCAGCTGTCATGTGTTTGTTTACTTTGAAACTGTTGTCGAGAAGGGCATGGCACTTTTTTTCAGTGTCTTCTCTATCTCCATTTACTTTGGAAATCACTCCCTTTTTATATCAGAGACCATAGGAGGTGACGAGGGGAATGGAAGCAGCTGACCACTGGGCGCTTTGCCAACAGTGATGTCCAAAGCTCTCATAGGAGTCAGTTACAATACACACGAGGGTGAATCTGTTCTTATGTCATGACTTAAGTAGTCCGAACACTGTTCATACTGCTCTGCGTGTGGGATTTGAAATGAATGTTCTTTGACAAGAAGAAAGGGATTGGCTCTCGGGTTTAATCTTGGATGTATATCCTCTAGTGAATCAGTGTTTCCAGGGCAAGGTGACTAACAGAAGGAGGATAATTGTTTGGATTTACATGTCCTGAAGCAGTCTATTCTGGAAGAATCAAATACTTGGCAAAGCATCAGAAAGATGTGTTAAATCTCTGGCTACTTCCTGCTCTCATCTCACTTTTTAGCCCTTTATAGTAATACTAATTTGTTGTTTTGATTGCTTTATATCTGAGTATTTTCATATCCCCATTGGTGTTTCAAGACCCCTGTTGGAAATTGTGATATATATGCTTTTTAAACATATTTTTTTTCTGTATAACATGCAACCTGGGGCTAATAGCATAGTAGATATTCAGTAGATACATATTAAAATTGAATTGAATCAGCTCAGTTCAGAGAGGTTGAGCTCACTGCTATTAAGCTTGCCTGTCTGTACACAATGCAGCACTGGGCACTGTGCAGATGGTATAATGCGTGCAAATAAGATAAAACGTCAGCAAGAGCACTTAGTTAAAATACAGCTGAATATAATACACACACAACACACATATGCATACAGATAAAGAACCATAATTTGTGAACTTAATCTACTTATTTGAAAGCAATTAAACTTTTGTTGTATGCCTGAAACATAGGTAGTCAATTAATTTCACATTTCTATGATTTCTCACTTCAAAGCAGATGTTTTCAAATCATGTTGAATTAATCTAATTTTGTTACTTTCTAGCCATGCCACAGCTGTCCTAAAGTCAGTAAGCATTTCATTACAATGAGTATGCTTAACAATGAAGTACTTCTCTGAGCTGTTACAGAAATTACTCTCATATTATAAGCAACTCTGTCTTGAGGGTCTTCTAACTTAGAGCACTTGCCATTCAAATAAGTGTGATGCACAGATCTCCCCAAATGCTTCAGAATGCTTATATACCTTTGATGAATATTTCAATAATATTTTTGCCCCGTGGGCCAAATCCAGTTTGGTTGATCTTTGTAAATATATTTTCAATATTATTGTTATAATGTGTTTGAATTAATGTTAAAGGTAGGAGAACTAAAAACTATCATGTTTTGTAACTAAACTTAGGAAAGCTGTCCTTCCTTCTATCTTGATGGTTTCAATAACAATGGCTATGGGTTAAAAAAAAATAAACACTGCAAATAGATTTATTCTTTCATCATGTTAAATCAATTAGGATTTTACTAATTGAATACTACTATTAGAACTTTAGAATATATTTTATTGTTATATGACATGATTATTAGGAAAGCCACCTCATGGAGAAAGTATATGCAATTTATGCTGCTTAACAAGCCACTTAAACTCAGAATCTAAAACAATAAATGTTTATTATTGCACTGCAAAGAAAAAAGTAAGTTCAGTTACAATTAGCTCCACAAGGATATATGTATCCCTTTCAGGCATACATGCAGTATACGTAATTGAAAATCTGCACCATAAAATTTTGAAGCACTTCAGTCATTCATAAATCATTTATTAGGGGCTGCTTGTCAAATAGACATATGTAAATGATATAAATATGTATGGAAAATATTTATATTTAATCTAAATGGAAGACAAGTTATTGCTATATAAAACAATAAATATTCATAAATTTCTATACTGGAATGGCTTGGGAAACTGGTTCCAAAAAATTCATATGGCTGAATTTCTGCAGTGTAGATTAAGATTATTTACATTTTACTCCTGTTGGACAAATGGGTTGAAAAGATGTAGCTGTTAATGAAGGGGCAGCAAGAATTAATATCATACAGTGAGTAATCTTGTATGTGATGAATAAGGAGATGTGAACTGCTTACACAGGGCACATTCATATGAATCTCTGAAGTAAATTATTATCTACCAGGATTTAGACTTTGTAATCTAATCATCATAATATTATATGGATATCTAAATTTTTGAGAAACCTTCTTATTAAGGTAAATCACTGTACAACTCCCTAGAGCAACACAGTGTGAATATAAGTGACTCTAAAATGAATTAAGAGAATATAATTGATTTTTTAAGCCCAAAATGGGCTTATAAGGATGACTCTGATGGAATTTTCCCTAATAGATGATACAGGATTGGTTTAGATGAAATCAATACCTATGCAAATAAAAATGCTCAGGTGCAAAATCAGATGGCAGACAAGAAATTGGTCCTTTTGGCTTTTGGAGATCTGTTTAAAAAATGATGAAGCAAAGGAAAGAGGAGTAATTCCATTCATGATAGCAGGGGTGGTTAAGATGATGCCATCTGTCATGGCAGACTGCTGACCCAAGGTTGGGGAAGGTGTTTCAGAACGGTCAGTGGTGTCGGAGTCAGCTATCTGCAGTTCATCTGGGGTGGCTGAGGAGGACTCCCTGGAGGAACAGGAGGAGTGCTCGCCCCGGGAGAAGTGCGTTATAAAAACAGTGTGAAAAGGTTGGGGGGGTCTTTGCAGGTGTGAAGACCCCAAATCAGTAGGTGGTGGCAGGGTAAGTGAGGCTGGGCTGGAGCCACTGTCTTGTGAAAAAGAGGTTGGGTTACAAAGTACCCCAGAAGATGGGCATGGAGCAGAGGCTTCTGGTCAGATTTGTCTGTGAAGCATTTACCTCCAACACATTGGCAGTTAAGTTCTGGTTTCCAAGCTGAGTTTGAGGAAAAAATAATGAGAAGAGAGATAAATTATCCAATTAATAAAAACATCTCTTTTTTTTTTTCTTTTGCAATGTGACAGAGAAGGCAAAGCACAGATTTATTTGCAAGCACTTTAAGGAAATATATTTAGAAGGATTAGGTGCCAACGACACAGTAGAGGGAAAGCATGTAAACATGCAGAAGATGAATCCAGTGCTTTTTGTAAATAAGAAAGACCAGTTTTCACACAGCTTTCATTTGGAGTAGCGGTTTAAGAGTGTTGGCATGATGGAATTTTTTTCTCCTAATTTTTAGTTTTTGTACTCATGACAGCAAATTAATACCTGGTTATCCATCGGTTGGCAGAATTAGTTTCCCTTCACCAGAAAAATCTTATAGCAATTTTCTCCTACTGCCTCCTTCTTGGAAAGTGTCCCCCAACTATAAATCAGTTTGCCTCATGTTATGGTGATTTACAGATCTAGAGACTGATCGAACTAAACACAACTAAGTGGAAAGGGAATTTTGTTTCCTTTCCACTCGTTCAATCTCTACTTTGATTTCACTGTAAGATGCTAAAGGAATTGAACTTTAAGGTATCCTAGCAGTGAAAATAGTGGTATCTTTGTGTGAAAATGGAAAAAACAAAAACCAAAAACCAGCCATTGATGATGTTAGAGTACATCTTAGTTGGTTAGAACTACTGTTGGCTTTAAATATTAGGTAAAGGAGAAAGAAACTGAAGAAGAAAGAGAAGGTTTAATACCTCTAAGGCCATACAACCCAAGAGGCTAAACATGGTGGGAAGGGTGGTCTGTAAAAGGAAGAGAGTGGATGGCCCATTAAAGGTAACTATTCATCCTAACCATGTTATCTGACCACACAGGTCAAATATGATGATAAATGTATTCACTCAACATGAGTAAATGAAACTCTGAACCAAAATATTTTTTCTTACTCCTCACTCTGAAACCCCCATCTCCAGAATAGAGCTTTTTTGAGTGTTTGGTATGGTGCCAGTTGTAACATAGATAGCCAAAGTATTATATTAATACAAGGATGGGGAATACAGTAAACAGAACTGTATAAACTTAAAAATCTTGCCTAGTAAAGGTTTAAGTGGTTCTTGGCCAATCATCATTTCATAACAGTTGATCTCATGTAGACTGCTGATCTCATAAAAAGTTAAAATTAATTTTCTCCTCAGACTTTTAGTTGAAGAATTTTTTAAAAACCCACTATATAAAATGATCTCTTGGTCATAGATGCCTTGCAAATCTGAGTGCTATTGATCCTTCTCAGGAAAAATGCACAAATTCATAACATTTCATGTCGACTTTAGGAGTTCATGAATACTCAAAAGCACATCTTTAACAGGTTAAGAAACTCCAACCCTGAATAAAAGTCAGATTTTTCTATTCTAAGCTTGTGTTGTTGTTGTCTAAAGACACTCATTTTACCTCCTTTTCCCATTTAGGTTGTTACATAATATTAAGCAAAGTTCCCTGTATATACAGTAGGTCACTCTTGGTTATCGGTTTTAAATACAGCAGTGTGTACATGTCCATCTCAATTTGAAAAAGAATAGATGGGTATGTGCATAACTGAATCGCTTTGTTGTGCACCTGAAACTAACACAGCATTGTTAATCAACTATACACCAGTACAAAATTAAATGTTTATAAAGTAAAAAAAGACACTCATTTTAAGTGATACTTTTATACTTGTATAGTTTTAAGATCTTTAGGATTAACTGAGAGAAACCTTAAAATAACCCAGAACTTAAAATGTCTTAGAAGGACTGCATCCTTTCTATTAGTAAATTTTTAATCATAAGTTTTAAGACATTTTCATATAATGTAAATTTCTTTAGTCCTGTTTATGCTAAGTAAATTTTTAAAAAATTAAATCATTCAAAAAGATTTGAGTAATCTGCATAAAGGAAGTTT